TTTTGATTTTCACGTTACACCTGATCTCGAAAAATAATTGGCTAGTGCAATAAAAAAGTCACATGACCGGAAAATTTTTTGTGGGTGAGCTACTAACGTCGATTAAATGACAAAATGACAGATGACCTGGGTCATTTGGTCATTTAGAATCAAATGACCAGTCAGCATTCTAACTCTAATTTTATTAAAAACCCCGTGAGCACCTCAACTCAGTCATAACCTTTTTAAAAATACGTATGTATTAATTAAACTGTTTATATAACGATAATACGTACAATTTAAAATTTTAATTACAAATTACAAAAAAGTATACTGTATATAACACGTATATATACTATATATATATATATTATTAATATAACTAAAAACCTAATTTTTAATTATATATAATATAATTTTTCAAAATTAAAATAATATTGCTGAACATAAATAATTTATTGGTTTATATAATGCTATAGTATATTGTATAAATCATTTTTATAAAAAAACCAATTTGACAAAAAATAATAGTCAAATCTTTATATAATTACCAGCTTAAAGTAAAATTATAACTATACAGTATAAAGATCAAATTTTATATGTTTTATAATAGATAAAGCTAAAAAATAAAATGATTATATCAAGGTTGTAATTATACCAAGAGTGACTATATACAATTGTATAAAAAAAAAAAAAATTTAATTATCTTGATATATAATTATTAAATTAATTAGATAATCAAGTTTTCTAATTATTTTTTGTCAAATTGGTCTCTTTTCTCAACACCTAGCCCATTTTAATAATGAAAATAACAAGAAAGCAACTCTAAATATATATATCATAAATATGGCCTTTTTTTTTATTCCACTTTTAGATTCCAAAAAAAAATTCTACCCAATCTTAAATGTCATCGACTAGAATCATACAGATGTTAATATCAAATTTAGATAATTTTTTAACATATAAATAGACTAAATTTTATCTAGTTATAAAATGAATGTTCGTTATACAAAAATGTATTATATAAATTTATTATATCCAATGTAAATAAATAAATAAGTTATTTGTTCTAAATCTCACATTCCATTCGTTATTGCCAGAGTCCGGCTCGGTATAGAGAGAGGCTACAAGTTAAGAAATAAAATTTAAAATTCCGTGAATGATCCCATGATCACAGACCATTAATCGAACCATAGAACCATTAAAATTGAAAACTTACCAGTAAGTTTAGTGACCCGCATGATAATGAACCAGGTGATCTACGTTATATTTGGTTATATTACTAGTTGATTTATGGAAAGCTAAAATAGAAAATAAAAGTGTAAGTTTATTGCAATAAGAAAAAAATAACGTTGTACATGTATGGATAATAATAATAAATGAAACATACTATTGTTTCTGTTGTATGGCAACAAGACATGAAAATGAAATTAATAAATAAATCATTCTAAAATTAAACATTTTACGATCATTATTAACAAACCTATTCAGTTTTAGAGTAACGCTGTCAAGATCCAAGTTAAGATAATCTGTAATAAATTGGCCGATGTAGGTATTCTAAACAAAAGTACAGTCAAGTCAATATGCATTTTCAATTGATTTTACACTAATAATCAATTTAAATTACTTCGTGGTTTCCACGTAATGCTTTCGTGTTTATTCCGTGTGCGTAAAGGTTGACGTCAACACCTGTATGACCATGTGTTGTCCACTATTCGTTAAAAAGACAGAAGAGAAACGTACTGATTCTCAATACTATGTCTCAGTATCAAAATTACAATCTCTTTAATAAGATATGTTAATTACCCCCAAAAGAGCTCTCCAGCTTGTCAAATTAGCCATATAATGTTCATAATCTACTTGAGTTTGATTTGCAACCAAAAAGTTTACTTCTTCATCTGTAAAATCACTAATCCCTAGACTATTACGTAAAATGTTCTCTGTTACGTAATTGGTTCGGTCGCTACTCCAATATTTAGTCAATTCCACAGCTAAGGCATATGAAGAGTTTTTTATACGGGATATTACATCAGGGTACCTATTATGATCGACAATCCGTTTAATAGTACATATAATAAAATGAGTTGAATCAAAATGAACTTACCATAGATATTGAGGATAGTCAGAACTCGTTTGTAGAGCGAGAGACAGACCACCAGTTTCATGATCACTAACCTATAAATGCGTAATTTATAATTAAATTAATTGTAATGAAACGTAAATATCAGCACATTTTTGCAAAGTCATGTATGACGGATTTTTTCAAGAAAAGGAAATTACCGATATGAGAATTGTTCCCGGATGATCATCTACATATTTGGTAACAAAATCGATTGCTTCATTATAAGCCAAGATTTCATGAACGTGTGTACCTGGATCATTTCTATAAAAAATTTTATAGATAAATTTTAGTTGAACGTTCCTTGATTTTCACTACTATATTTTTATTATTACTTACGAGTGGCCAGCCATATCTTTATGATGCATTAAACGTAATATGCAACAACAGAGTTATAAAATATTAACTTTAATGTAAATCTTAAAAAACTTAAAATTGAGAGTAGTTACCGATTCGGCTGCCTTCAATCATAAGGAAGAAACCTTTATTGCTATTAGCGGTTTGTGCCTCAAGAATTCGAATTGCCTTTTCAGACATTTCTTTAAGAGAGGGTTCGTCAGTGGGAATACGATCTATCTCATAGGACATATGCTGAAAATAAAATGCGATTAAACATTAAGCAGACCTTTTCAATAATATGGATACAAATCTGATAGAAAATACTCACATCAAGGGTAAATAGGCCAAGGAGTGGGATACTAGAAAATAGTATGTATAAGCATTAACATACACAAAGAAATTAATAAAACTAACAATACACTATACAAACCTTTGTGATTTAGGATCAATATTATCAAATTCTTTTCTGGAGGAAAAATAAGTAAATCCAGATTTTTTGGCTTCTGCAATTAAATCCAGTTCGTCACTTCTGCAGCTATCGGTTGTAGAATTTGGCAAGAAATAACATCGACCACCACCCATCATCAGATCAACTTGTCTTCCAAGAGGATAATCACCAAGTTGTTGAGTAGCAATAATATCTTCCATATCCCTACTAACAACATGGGATGAAAATGAAGCCGGTGTTGCATGAGTGATACGACTAGTAACAACTAATCCTGTTCTCATTCCAATGGCCTTTGCAGCCTCGAGAATAGTACCACATGGTGCTTTATCAGGGTCAACTAATATTATTTATAAAATTGTCAGGATAATTAATAAATAATAGTGACTATACAAAACGCGTATTTTTGAGTATAGAAACATTAACAACCTGCTATACCACCATTATAAGTTTTTTTAATACATGAAAATGCCGTTGCTCCAGCGGCAGAATCTGTGACAAGACTGTCAGAAGATCTCGTTCGAGATGAACCGACAAGGATTCGATCCAAAGGTGTTGTATAATTATAACTCAAGTCATTTATATATTGGTAATAACCACGAGCGAAAGTTTCCGAGGCAGGACCGAATCCATCAGAAATCATTAATATAACATTTTTCTTGATTGGTAACTCTATTAAAATTAAGTTTAAAAGTTAAATAGTTTGTGAAAGCAAATTACGAACAAAAATTATTTGTAATATTTACCATTAGACAATTCAACCCATATTGAAGCAAAACCTATTGTACCAATAGAGACTAGAAGTGCACTGAGGAATATAATGAACAAAGTCCTTTTCTTTAAAAAATTAAGAATAATAATGAATAATCTCGCTGAAATTTTCGATATTATTAAATTTTACAATAGTGTACTACCGTTGAATGTTCAGCAGTCTACTACCACTAATTGTTAACATATATCTAATCTAAAATGGCATCTTGTAAATGTTCAATGTGAATCCACTTTACAAACCTCTTTCCCCTTATATTCCACTGGAAGCGGAAGTAATTCCGCTTTTTCGTCAAAATCGTCGTCGTAGTCTCTATTGTCCATTGGCTTTCAAGATAAATTATTAATTGCCAGACGCCTATCTCGTATCTATTTAAATAAATGTTATTTATATTATATATATACATATTTATTTTATTATGTCATTACATGTAATTGCACGTGACAAAAAAACCTGGATACATGATCGGCTAATGAATTTACAGAAATAGTTTCATTGGAATTTATTTTTCAGAGTACACTCTTCTCTAAAACTGTAAAATAAACTGATAATTCTAGAAAAGTTCGTTAAATATAAAACTATCAAGTCTTTTCAAGGGTTCAACACATTAAATACAGTTCTTCATTAATTATACTTGAAAAAATAATTTCTTTAAAATTTATTAACTTTTTATATTCATTACAAAAAATTATTTCACTTTGAAGAGACAAAATAATGAAAAAAAAAAAACCTAAAACTTTATATTAAATAATTTAATTAATAAACTATCACACCGTAACACGAACAGAACAATGACCTTCGGTGTGAGTCAACTCATCTAAGAGTAAATTCAACCAAAAAAAAAAAAAAAAATTTTTAATTATGGAGAAAGTTGGTCCACACAGAAGGTCACTGGTACTCTGAAGGACTCTCAAGAGAAGTATATCTAACAAGGAACGACTTAGAGACGTATGGGATATGCAGGGTTATGTGAACTATTAAATCCTTTTCTCATAGTTTTCATAGAAATAGATGTAGTACGAGGGGTGCTCGAATGACGTTCGGCCCGAATTGTATTTATCCCATTGCTAATACTCGTAATGACAGGTTTGAATATTCCATTGTTACTTCCTGCCGTGGTAGATTTAGGCCCACCATTACTGTTTCCATTATTAACAGAGTGGAGGGCATTGATAGCGGCTTCTTTTTTTGCATCTTTTTTATTACGTGCCTTACCACTTCCATAACATTCTTCATCGATAAAAACGCCGACGGAAAAGATTGCATTGTGTTCACCAACTTCCTCGAGAGGTTTATAAACAGGAATACCTAATCCTCTTCGTTGAGACCACGTTTGAAGTTTATTGATTGGATCTTGAAGATCGGAATGGAGTACGAGGTCAGAAGAACTAGAACCTGTTGAAGACATATCAGCTTTTGACGTTTCTTGTTTGTAAGGTAAAAAAGTTGTAGGTGGACAACAGGTAAGTTCGTCGACCGCAGGTGATAATAATGGTTCCATAAATTCCTGAACTTCACTCATGCTTGAACCTGAATCAAGAAAGACGGCACCAATATAAGCTTCGAAAGCATCTTCTAAGACCTTTTCACTTGCTCTTCCACCGTCACGTAAAGCACCAACGCCGAGTCGAATATCCATGTCTAAACCGAGTTGTAGAGCAAACTGGGCCAATTTTTTTTTACAAACAAGATTGGCTCTTAACAAAGTAAGTTGACCCTCTTTGAAGTTAGGAAAGCGCCCAAATAAATAATTAGCTACTACAAAGGAGACGATGGAATCGCCTAGAAATTCTAAGCGTTCGTTATGGGGACCGGTTTTAGGATTTTCGTAATGAAAAGATTTGTGAGTAAGTGCTTCAAGGCGTAAGTTGTCATTTCGAAAATCTCTTTGACGGGCCGTCTTCTTTTTTTCTAACATTTTGCAAGTTCAGCAAGTGTTCAGTGAGGAATCGGGAATAAATAGGATGTTAAATGATTACCAATTTCAAAGTTACAAATCACACCTTTTTATAAAATTATGATTGCACAAATATGAACAAATATGATTGCTTGATTGGGCACCTTTTTTGTGTAAATAAATAAATATTTTTTATTGGCCAACAATCTTCCGCAGTGCGCAATGTAACATCTTATTATGAGGACTAAAACGTTGCCTACTTGCCGTTTATGTCAAAGCTTATATAATTACAAATTAAAGTGTTGTTATGTGTTTTGAGTGGCAATAACGCATTCGGCGTTATAAAAGCCTGCAGGAGTTTTTCAACAACTGTTACTTTAGGGAATCAAATATCTTTATAAAGATAATCTTTATCATTTATTATTATTATCATTTATCAATGTTTACTAAGATTACACGGCTCAAACGATTGCCGATACAAGCTTTAACTGTACAACTGGGAATGATAACTACTTTATAGAAATGTAAATATAGAAATTATTAGAAAAATGTAATAGTGAAATTTCCTAATCACATCCTCCGTAAATGCCGAAATGCACGTATTATGTATATGCACATTCGGCCCAGTCCCAAACTTATACAACTCTAAGTACGTATATGCCCTATATAAATGCACGCCGAGTGAATGTAATTAGTGAGGCTTTCTCCTTACCATTACTGTTTCCCTATTGTCATGGCGCATACAATAGTTCGTAAATATTTGAATCTAAGACATTAATATACCGATACAATTAACTCCGTATATATATTTATATAATTCACCGAGTTAAAAATTCCCGATTCAATCACATGATTTACCATGATTTTTTTCCATTTAAAGTATTTAAATATTTGAACTCCGAATCATAGACCCGAATTTATTTATTTTATATCGATATGGTTATCGAATGATTCCTTAACGTTAAGTATGCAGTAATTGAATGTTATGTTTCTTATTAAGACTTGACGGATATGTTATCACCTTTTTTATAAAATAGTCTTAATAAATCAATGATCTGTAAAAATGCTTGACGGAAAATTCACAGCCTGCATATCTATACCCGATACTGTATAAAGTCCAATTTTGAAAATTTTTGTGTAATGCTTTAATTACGTATTATCTCTATTATTATCGTTGCATTTTTTTTATAGATTAATAATTAAAAAATAGGATCAATTTAAAATTAAATAATAAATAATAAATAATAAATTCGATTGATATTACAACATCCGTATTGTTAAGTTTTCAGAACCTTATGAGCCTAAGTTATAAATTTCGTGTAACCTCATTAATTTCAAATTGTTATAACAAAAGGCATGTGGTTCTTATATCATACGTACGTACGTATCAAACGGGTGTTTCAACTCGATAAGATTGTCCGTTTACTTGCTAGAGAATAAGTTACGTACTTACGTATTATTAGCAAATATTATTTGATATATATTGTATAACATTGTTTTTTGCAACAGGTAATATCATATTTTCGTGAAATGATGCCCAGAGGGTATTTTTAATTATGTATCGCACGATATTATTTCACAAAAAATTCGGTATTATTAATTAAACTGTTTGTTATTTATTGTGCTTGCGTTAGTATCAATAATATTACGATTGTTTGACGAGAGTTAACAAATCGCCCTAAACTATACACTTACTCTAATCCTAAGCCCAACCCTAATTTAGGTTAAACCGACATCGTTGATCTGAATCTTAATATATTTCAATAAATTAAACATTTTTGACTTCATTCGATAGAGAATCTGATTGGCCAGTATGATCAGACTGACCGGATCAATTAGTTCTTTATTAGTTCATTTAAAGATGTTAAAAACACTTGAGATTTTTATAATAGATTTTGAGTAAATTAGAAGGATGTTCTATAGAATAGGTGGGCAAACTCTACAAACTCCACAACTCCGCTAAATATCTATTAATGATTACTAATCATTGGCAAAGTTTTTTTATATTGCCCACCTATTCTATAGAACATCCTAAAAAAATAAAGTAATTTATTTAGTATTAAACTTAAATAAATACTTTGTAGTATTACAACTAACTACACCATCTTGTGCTAATGATTTAATAAACACATGAAATTATTTTCACCAATTATGAAATGTTATCCCAGCATTTTTTTTTCTAATACATTAATACATATACAATAGAACATTAGATTTATCTTTAACAAATCATATTGAAAATAAATAAGGAAATATCTGGTATTTTCTTTAGAAGATCATATCGATCCATTATTGTGGTGGCAAATGCAGTAAAAAGAATTTCCAAGATTATCTAATTGCCTAGGATTATCTGTCTATCCAAGCAACTAGTATTGCTTCAGAACAGGCATTTTTAGTAGCTAAGTAAATGATTTCACCAATATAAGCTAGATTGAAGAAGGAAACTACACATACAGTTTTATGTTTACAAAGTTGAATTAATTAAGAGAGTTGTTAATATATTAAATATGTATTGGATGTTCTATAGAATAGGTGGGCAAACTCCACAAACTCAGCAACTCCACTATATATCTATTAATGATTACTAATCACTAGTGGAGTTTAGTTTTTATATTGCCCACCTATTCTATAGAACATTCTTTTTTTATATTTATCTTTAAATATTAATAGCTTTATTCTTGGATCAAGAAATATCAAGATCTATAAAGCTTTATCCAGAATTGTCCAATAATGTTCTAATTTTTGGTAAATAGCACTTGTCATAGAGCTTTGTAATAAGGTACCTTGATTTATATATCTAATTAAATGTTCTTAAATACTTAAAAAAATAAAGTGAATATCTTCATAAGTTGGGTAGCTAAAAGCCGAAAGGAAACAAGTTGTATATTCAAAAAGTTTTAAAAGAATTATTATATTCTTTTATATTAAGATTAATATTATATTATTATTTTTTATTATTAATTTTTAATAATAAATTTTTAAAATAATTTATTATATATTGTCAAAACATAGAACTCTTTCTGACGATCACTAAAACCAAAATTTCCCAAACAATTTTTGTAAAAACAGTAACTAGTAAGTAATAGAGA